TGATCTATGCCTATAGACCTTAAATATACTGATGTATACCGCAAACAGAAATTAATTTCTCAGGAAATTTAAAAGCCGAACCATCAAAACTGGTATATTAACCAGAAAGCAGATAGGGAAATCTGGGCGACCCACTTATGAGCCGGATCCCTGGCAGCTGTGTCAAGCAGCGGCACCATACCGGCGAAACACGTGTCTGAGCCTTTTAGCTAGTACGTAGGCTGTTAATATGGTAAGTCACAAAATCAATATGTACAATGTATTGTCACAAACTGATGATCGACTCGGGCTTCACATGCCTGTGGGTGCCTATAGACCACATTAGAAAGGAGCCGCGGTTTCTGGCCCCCTTGGTTCCAGTCAGTCATTTCATACAAACACAGTGCTCACCAAAAAGAAAACTTAGTTTCTTAGGCGGCAATTAGCTCATTCGCTACTGAAGCTCAGCAGATTTTGTTATTAGTGAGGGATGTGCCAAGTTTCGAAGGGATGAAATCCCCGAATTTCGGCCTCACTCCGGCTTTTCAGACATGAGTTGCGCAAGTGAGAGTCAATAAACTGGTGATTTTTCGCATCTAGTAGTTGATTTATACTTAAATTCTGAAGAAGCTACAAGAATAAATGCTGGTGAATTTACGGACACTTGTAAGGACTTATTTAACGAAGTCGAAAGAAATAACTACAAGCAGTCCGCTTTAATATGGACTACCTACCACGCCGCTAGACGGTGAGGAGACAACTAAAAGCAAGTGTCCTTACGCCGCAAAACGGAGAAGAGACTGTGACAGCAAGCATACCGTGACCACCCACACCGTTACGAGACGAGGACACCTTGCATCCTTATACCTTCCAACAAAACGCGAGGTAGGGACGATGCTAAGATAAACAGTCTGTGAGATATATATGCCATGAGCTAAAAACCTCCACGCCTTCCTATTATCGTGACAAAGAAGCCGACATCTGCAATTCAGTGGGTCGTACTGATGGCAGCCAACGCAGGCTAACAAACCGGCATAGTGTTGCAACAAAATGTAATGATAAAACCTTACAAGGTAGTCGCATTTTGGTATTACTTTATGTTAAAGGCACTTGAAAACTTCAGAAGATGAAATGGCAAACATATTTTTGTTTTCAATAAATTCGCGTCAGGCTTTTACATTTATATGGCAATTAAATAATTAAACTATGTGGATTGGTAGAAAAAATTGTACGGTTGTCAGGGGAGGTTAAGGGGGGGAATCGGGGTCAAAATCTGATCAGCGCTAGGGGAGACTGGTAGTCGGCCGAGGTGATAAGCTGCTGGCTGTTGGATTAGCGGCTTTTGGCCATGGTACCTGCGACGCCGCGACGAAGTTCTTTTGGGCGCACAGGACCGGTCGGCGTACCCGGGAACTTCTGCCGTAGCCAATAGGTGCTGTCTGAGGAATTTCGAATAGCTTGAAGGCACCTTGTAGATCACTCGGAAGGCCTCTTTGGCATCCACGCGATGGGGTAAGTCAACCAAGTGCACAAGAAAAGAGCTGTCTATACCCTTTTTTAACCATGCTGGAATGTGTTGTCATACTCTTTTGGACAAGCGCCATCTCGTGCAACCAATATATTCTGCCCTACAGGAGCAGGTACATGAGTATATGCACGTAGAGGTCAAAGCTAAAAAGTTTATCGGTGGAACCAGTGTAAATTTAATTTTAAAACAGACGGCAAGCGTTTACCTTGGCCTAACATTATTTGTGTATTCAACGGCAGGCATTCGTCGAGGGACATATCAACAAGTAAATGGTGATAAAATTGGGCAATTATGTCTTGGTTGTCCCCATCAGACAAACCTTTTTAGGCTCAGATCGCCAAACCAAAATTAGACATTTAAGTCACTCACACTCGCTGATGAACGTTCATCGACTGCAAACGGGACTCACTTGTCCTGCTCTGCATTGGGCCTCATTTTTAGGGCCCTGACTGCAGTTTTATGATTTTTTTATTTTATGGCGCATTGAGTTTCGCAAACGTTTTCGGCCAATAAAGGTGAGCATTGTAAATCTATGAAGGATATTTAAGCTGAAAACGGATTCCATGTGTTTATAGGATAGTTGTACTTCAATCCTCCCAACCTCAGGTGTCCGAGCAGCTAGACGGTCGCTAGCCGGTGGGGGAGAGAGAGAGGTCAACCCTTAGCGCGCTGCTCTCTTCACTATAGTAAATATGAATGCGATTGAATTTATCACGGTGCGCTAAAAGCCGTGGCTTGGAGGGTTTGCCAGCTGACGAGAAAACTCGGGCCACCTACGTCGATGCTCCTCTAGTACGCGTATGTTCGTGTGTGCCTATTTGAGGAGATGGAGAACTGAGAGTCAGGCTGCAATGACTCCTTCTTAATGTGGCCTATATGGCGCTCCCACACATGTGAGAACCTACCTGGCGAGATAACTGAGTCAAGTGTGCGCGCGTTGAGTGACTTTCGCGTCAGCCACCTGCACCCTCCCTCATCCCCTGTCTTATTGACTTTGTGTTTACACCGGAAACGGAGGTGGGAGCGGCGAGTGAGTGGGTAGATTCCCCGGGAGTCTGCTTTAAGTCTTGTTTTCATTCGCGCTAGTTCATTGCGTTGCTTCAGCTTGGTGTAGCCTTCGTGCAGCTTGTCCAGCTTGCAGCTTCTCCGGCTTGCTTCTGCGTTTGCTGCGGTTCTTTGGAAATCGAAATCGTCGAGCTCGAGGGGGGAACTGTCGTACTTCAATCCTTCTGAATGACAGCAACTCGATATATCACTGTGCATACTACTAAAAAATCTGCTGATTTAAGTACTGTGGATATTTCTATACTCTTAGGGATTAACAAAACCTTCAAAATCATGTTTATAATTTTGGGGAAATTGGACGGTGATTTAACGGGGCTATGATTACTTACGAAGTGTCCAGGATGTGGTCAACTGCAATTTTTCTTAAATTTCAGAGCTTATGGACTTTTAACTGGCAACGATGCTTCTTTCGAACGCCACTACCCCGATGAGGATCAACCAGCTCCCACGTAAGTAATAAATAGCAATGAAAATGTTTTTTAAGCGAAGGGTTTGTTTTAAAAACTAATGCGTTTGACACTACTTAATAAAAACTAGCAGGATTTGAAGAGACAGTTTCTTATCTGACGTGCTAAAATCCACTAGATACTTCTAACACAATTACTTGGACCTGGATTTTGCGTTGCTAGCGCCCACACCAAATGATGTATTGCAATTGACCCAAGTGTTGAAAACTTGTGGCCTCGTGGGAAGTCGAACCCACATAGAATGGAAGGCTTTGCGTAACCAACGCCGTGAATTTATTCACAGTTGGATCGATTTACTTGCCCAAGCTACTGATCATATAGAATCCACCATTAGAGATACAGCAAGCTGACTAGAGTAATAATGACTTATAAATAAATTGAGGCTTGCAAAGAACGTCATCTCAACTAAAGTTACCTTAAAACTAGACACGTGATAATCGCGGCGGTTGATTGCAAATTTTCCCATTGCTCGGCCTGGATGACATAGTTAATTAATTTTTCTATTATGCGGGTCAAAGATTTTATGCCCTAGCTGACAAACGACTAGCTGCCTAGAATGCATAAAATTTTAGGCAAGAAATTCGCACAGGCGTAGTAGACTGATGACCTGTCTTTTTGATTAGTGTTTTTGTTTAATCCTTTATCTTAAATTGACTGCAAGCCTACCATTCACTTAGTGCAACAAATAATCCTCTTAGTCAAGCATATTTGCGAACAAGTTGGTTTTGCCGTGAAAATAAGCATTTGCCTAACATGAACTAACGTATTAACCAAATGTCTTAAATATTTGAACTGGAAATAACTACACGGCATAGAACGACTTAATTGCTCAGGAATTCCTTGATATTCCCATTGTCCGCTTATGTATTCGCCCATTTTTGAAAACGTCTGACACAGTGGGTTTATTCAGGATGACCATGCATACAATAGAGTAAGTCTGACGAAAACAAGAATCCTACGAAGTTTGTGTGGAAAATCGTTCACTGTATGAAGGCTCTTGTTTGATGAAACCAATTGCTCAAGTATATCCTTAGCCATTGAGTTTCCTTATGTTCGCTAAAAGAAGGGAACATGTAATACGTTTTAAATAAAGAATTAAGATCACGGAAATCTAATGTAAACTTTACTGCTTACCGTGTTTATAAATTAGTGTTTAGGCCAAAAATAAAACAAGCTTTTGGCAATACATATTTCAGCGACAGGCACACTATACTGCAATAAAGGTATATTTTTGGTCAGAGACTTTCTTAAAACACAAAACTACGATACATATACAAGGTTCGTAAGAGTGCTAAGTCAATAACATTTCAAATTTCACTTTGAGACAATCATTGTATTGTAAATTTCACTAGAAATTTCGATGAACTATTCAGTCCTCTGACATTTCTGTGTTGTATAACTGAAATATCAATTTCGTGAAAGTTTCTATGAATAATAGCGTGTACTGGAGACGTACCTATTAACAATTGTTTCGGAAATATTACGCGTTTATTCATTTCAAATAAATATTTGAGTGCGTGAGCAATACCAATAAATGCCGCTTAATAGTAAAACATCACTTACAGATATTTGCCCTATCCTGGTTGGTAAATTGAAAGCAAAAATATTGTATTGGATTACCACTCTACTGCACGCCAGGACTGTATCGCTACTTGTTATATTTTGCATACACCTACACTGATAGATGCCGCGATATAAGTCAGCGTTCTTAGGTCAAGATAAAAACGAGACTTTTTTCGCTTTTAGCAATAAAATTCGCGAGGAATTTAAATCCCTTAATCTTCGTGATCTGTGCGTTGTTGCGACACTCGGTGTGGGTGGATTTGGACGCGTTGAACTGGTAAGCCAAATATTAATCGATGTTATGCATTTCAAGCCTATGTACAGTATGACAAGTCCTCCATGCAAAATATCTAAATTTATAAATGTTTGATGATTACTCGCATACCAGCGTAAACGCATTTACGAAATTTAGAAGTAATACTGAACAGAAGTAGGCATATTCAGTACCTGAAAGAATTATAAGAAGTACTTAAGCCAGGATGAACCTCACCATGCATGAAGGAGTATAATTTATTTTAAATACCCAAATTGCACAAATAACTAACGATAAGTTGGCCACATCTATGTCCGACAGACTTACTGTTATTTGTAAATGTTAATGGAAGCCAAACTAAGTAGAAGTCTTTTTTATTTCTACCTATTCTGTGTTCATTTCAGCTTTTTTTAAATCCCCCGCCTAAGACACATTTAAATGTCACATTGGTTTAGTAAATTCTCATATATCCATTACCTCAATTTAGAGTATTTTGTGAAAACGAAATACTTTTATGTTAGTGCATAGATAATTGTCAACCAACCTATGTCTTTTTTTAATTATGGTTCTTAATTTACCGCTATAATGGTTTAGGGTGATGCCGCGTCACTGGCTTGGATCAACATTTAAGGCCTATACCACGACATTTCAGCAGATGTACAATCTAATCTATTCCCTTCTGATTTAAAAGGTTCGAATTGGTGAGGATAATTCACGAACCTTCGCTCTGAAGCAACTGAAGAAGTACTACGTGGTGGAAACACACCAACAGGAGCACGTGATGAATGAGCGTACTATCCTTATGAACACAAACTGTGATTTTATCGTAAAGTAAGTTACTTTGGTTGCATGCAACCCAACATAGTTTTTTCAATGACCGCACAGCCTACATTTGAAGATACGTTTCTCTTTAGGAAATAAATAGTGTCAGTTTTGCCAAAAGAAGTGAATATTTGAGTTCTAGGAAGCAGTTCAGAAAAAGCAGATGCGATCACTGGAACAAGAGTTCTAGTCTGGGCCACGCGCGGGTAGGGGTGATGCCTGCACAGATTGTACGGAATTTATAGTTCGTAGCACTCATCCGCATTTGTAGTATAAATATCAACTCCTGTAGCCACCGCGGATGACCGTTACGAACTATAAATTCCATGCAATCAGTGCAGGTATCACCTCTAGCTGCCCATGGCTCAGACTATCCTCCCATTACCTATGATAAAGGATCCTCTGCAGAATCCGAAACTTCAAAAAAATAAAACTCTTGTTCTGGTGATCGCACCCTCTTCCTCTTCTGAGTGTCAGTTTTATTGGTCACTGCCATAGAAAACCTTGCAATTTAGTGCGTTTTAAGCTTGCAAGCCAAGCTGTTATTCACGACAGACATAGCCCTAAAAGAGCAACAGAAAATGTGCAAATGTCATGAATGTTCAGTGGTCGCCGTTGACCACGTTATGTTTCTTAATTTGTATAAGTTTGATCATTACTCCAATACCAGTGTGAATGCATTTAGGAAAAAATAGAAATAATAATGAACGGCATAGGGCCTATTAAGTACTTAAAATAACTATAGGAATTATTAAGTGTTCGTAAAGGAATATA